CCTAAAACCCTCAATATGCAACTGTTTAATTGTCTTTCAAAGCTTGTGTTTTGCTTCACTTCACTTCAGAGCAGGCTATCCACACAAAGTCCCAACCCAAAAGCAAGAAGAATCTAAAAAAGATTTGCAATTTAAATACACAAGCATCCACATAAAGTTCTCACATAGGATCAATACACCACCGACCCTCAAAGCTGAACACGTATTTCAGTTAAAATATTAATTCTTTCAGATATTAAAGTCTGGAGCTCACAGTACTCTTATGACCACAGTAAAGCGGCGGGGAGAAGAAAGGGGTGGAAAAAGCAGATAATATATAGTAATATCCTACTGTCAAAATCATTAGTTCAAAATGAAACCAAGTTTTGTACTATGTGCACTTCTGAACCTCTTAATAAGATGAAGCAAGACATTATTAGTGGTGTCAGAAAACACATATGAATGTTTGAATCAGCAGAGTAATTGGAAGCAGAAGTTAAGCAGGCTTTGTCAAGAACAAGTGGAAGAAAACGGATGGGGCTCCTGCTATCACCCCCTCCTTGGCCACCCCTTTACTCTAAAGAAGAGGAACAGAACACCAAGACAACATTGTACCTAAGTGGCATAACCAGGAATAACAGCACTCGTCCCTCAAGAACCTGAGAAGAGGGAAATCATGTTTACACATACCACAGGCACACTGGAAGGCATTCTTCCAATATCCTATTTCTGCTGTTCAAAATAAAAATAAAAAATAAAACACCACAAAAAAAACCCCAACAAAATCTTAAGTTTCTGAAGGAAAGCGGCATAAAACAAGAGAAAGATTAACTACCAACAACAGTGCAAGCTCATAGGGAACAACTTATGCCTCATTCCAATGAGCAACACCTCTATGCTTGACCGACCTCTTGAAGCTTTCAGTATTCACAAATTCTCCAGTAACCACAGGACAAAATGAAAAGTATATCTGCTTGAGACAAGACACCTTGAATATCAATCATCCCTGAACTATACTGGAATACCCATGAATAAAAATGCTACCTAATTAGACTCTTCCTCATTTAGAAGTCTCAACTGAGATTTTGAATTCAGATCAGTTCTCAATGGAGGAGTCGGTTCCTATCAGAATAATTTAGACTGTAAAGGAGCTTAGGAGACCATTTAATCCAATCCACCACTCAAAGAAGTGCTATCCTAGACTTACACTTGCTCCCATTAATAACATTGTAGATATTACACGGAAAATGAGATGTGGATTACATTCCCATGACCACATTAAACGTATCCTGAGTTAGTCACATTGTTAGCACCTACCAATGAACAGACCAAAGAATTTCTTAATTAAAGGTGCACAAGTTATCACCAGTCCAAACTGTAATAAAATGTTAATATAATGGACATTTTCAGAGCATAGCATTGTTGCAAATATTACAATTTGACTCATTCAGCATTTATAATCACAGAATGGTTTGGGTTGGAAGGGACCTTAAAGTTCATCCAGTCCAACCCCCTGCCATGGGCAGGGACACCTCCCACCAGACCAGGTTGCTCAAAGCCCCATCCAACCTGGCCTTGAACACTTCCAGGGAGGAGGCATCCACAACTTCCCTGGGCAACCTGCCAGTGTCTCACCACCCTCACAGCACAAACTTTCTTCTTAACATCTAGTCTAAATCTACCTTCTTCCAGTTTAAAACCAATACTATTACAGCCACTGTATGATGGAGGCTTCATTGCATAAAATTTTATTACCTCAAATTTTGCATAAGTCTGCTTTCTTGCAAGTATTAGATTACATTTTTTGAAAATTTAATTTTCTTCGCAAAGACTGGCAGGCAGATTTAACTGCACAATTGAACCATGGATTCAAGGCCAGGTACTATGCAGTCCTAGAAATCAAGTCAATAAAGACAAGTAACAAGTCCTCAGTCTACAGTAAGTAGAATGGAGCTGAAAGGGAAGAGGTAACTTCTGGATATCTTAAGGCCACAGGAGTAGGAATTGAATGTATCCTCATACAGCCAGCAGACGAGGAACAGCAGAGTAGGTCCTTGCACTTCACACTGTCAGCATGCCCCAAGCCAGCCAGGATGAGTCACCTCCTGGAGGGTCACTGGGCCGCTTTGGTCTCTGGATTCTCTGCTGAGACTGCCATGGTCCACATTACACGGTGGCATTTGTTCCAAGAGGACATTTGTCTTTTAGGAAGTGGATAAAGACCACTGATTTCACACAGGTCAGCAAACAACCATCAAAATATTAGTGACTAAAAGTCCTTACCAACTTTTGCCTGCTTTTAACTGGTGACACAGAAGTGATGGGAAAGACTCCGTCTTCCATTAGCAGTCCCCAAGCTACACATTATATGGTCCCTGACCTGTACCCAGTCACCCCATCCCATTCCCACTCCATGTGGGCGAACAAGCATTTTTGCTTCCAGAAATGTTGCAATTCTCGGGAACTCAAATTTTAATTCTCACAGTGTATATTATCAGTAAAATTCACACTGACTTCAACTGGCAATGCTTAGGTAAAATGCTTTATAACTCAGAAGAGACTTGTTACTTACAGGGAAAGATACACTGTCTCTGAAACATCAACCAAACACAAAAGCTGCTTCCCAGGAAACTGGGGGGTGAGGGGAGTGTTTCGGAAATAGGAACATGGAGCACACTATGAGGAACACTATGGTGACCTTTAAACAGTTATGCACAGGCTCACTATTCCAATATAAAATCAAGAACCTTCAAGGCTAGGTAAAAAACTATTCTATATCTTTTACTACTACAACAGCTCTGTTATGGAGAAGACTTCATGTGAGGCACTTTCACATAAGATCAAAGTGACCAACATTTTAAAGCAAAAATACACAGTTGTTTTAGAAAAAAGTGTATGAAATTGCTTTTACCTTCCTGATGCTTAATTATTTTGACCATTTAAACACCAATATATTACTAATTCTGCATGACCTGCTAGGCTTACTTGAACTTATTTGAGGCAACTCCTTTGAACAAGGTGGAGTGCTGTATATGTCAACACAGTTCAGAATATTACAGACAGGACAGTTTCAACAAACTGCCCCATCCAGCATCATTCACACAAAGCAAGAGAAGAAATACTTCAATATCCATGAATGTTACATTTTAAATAAACCCTGAGAAGAATCTACCAGCTGTGTAAAAGTACACAAAAATCCTGTTAGTTTTGAAATGGAAACCACTGCTCACCGTAACTAAAATAAAGTTCTGGAAATTCGTCTACTTTTGAAACCTGGGGTAAACTAAAATTTGTCCTTTGTGATACTTAAAAAAACCTGCATTGCACCCCCATAGTTCATTTACTACTCTGTCAATATTTTTAATAGATGAAGAGCTTTTTCACAGGTAGAAACACTACTAAAATATCGGGTATGAACACTTAGATGCATACATGCATACTAACAAAAGACTAAAAAAGCAAGAATGCAGATTAGTAATTTTCATGTAAGATGTCATATCCATTGTAGGTACTTTTATTTATATATCTGTGGAACTCTTATTAGGTATATACACACGTGTGTAAAACATCTAAGAACAAACAATTAAGTTTTATCCCATACTATACCACACAGTAAAAGACCACACACACAACTCCAATATTATCATTAGTTATAATCCTTCCAGCACAATTTTCTATTAATTCAAACCGAGTTTAAATCCAGAGCTTGTCTCCATCAAAGACAAACAAAAAGCCCACCATACAGTCTAGCTATAGTGGTATAAATTTCTCTGTTTTGTAAATTTACTCAGCTGATATTCAGCAAGGGTTTACATCAGCGCATTGTACTGCAGTAGTCTGATGGCTCAAGTTGCACCAGTATAAATCCAATTTAGAGTTACGCAGCTCATTTACAATGGCTAATCCCACCACCTATCTGGCTATCCTATGGCAGAGGGATGCTCGTTTTCCCCTCAATAGATAAATCTTTCTAGTATGACATCGCATCTGTAGTATTCAGCAGATAGCATTAACTCCAAACCAAGTTCTACAGAAACATTTGAATGATTCTCTGCTACATGAGGCCTCTCTTCCCAGCCATTCAGAGGACAAATTAAATAATTGTTCTAAGTCTTTCTGCTATTTCAAATCATGGACATAATGTGTCCAGCAACCACAACAAGGAACAAAGACAGCAAATCCTCCAACAGTTTCCTTTCCACTTATCTTCATTCCTCAAATATACCGATTAGCAATGAAAAAACTCCCTCAAACACCCACACCATTAAGGGATAAAATGATTTTTTTGCCACATTACAGTTCCCTTCTCTAATCATCAGAAAGGATACGAAATCCAATTGTTTCCCCTCTCCTGTGAATTTTTCTTCTTATTTTCAAAAGACACAGAGGAAGATCTAAAGATCTCTCCTACACAAACCATTACTTCCCTCTCTAAAACTTGAAAGGAGTTAAAGTGGTCATGGTTGATTCACCCCTGGTGCGTGGAAAGGCAAGAAGAGTAGCTACTTCTCCTAGGCTGTGAGTCAGCAAGAGTCAAAACACTGTCTGATCACCAACCTATACCTGTATTTGCGCAAACTTGAACAATTACCTTGAAAATATAAAAAAAATATATACACACAATCAAATACTGCATTGTGACATTATTTGACCATAATCAATGTATTAAACAGCTATAAAATAGCAACTACTTTAAATTTCTTACAGTGTAGTTGTTTTTTTTCCCCTCTACAATATAATAGATCAATTAGATGCTACCATTTTATGAAAATTCTTATGAGTTTAAGGAAAAAAAAACAAATATTTATCTCATAATAGTCAAGGAAAAACAATGGAGAAAGAATAAAATCTCTTTAGATTTGATGTATCATCTCAGCTTAATTAACACAAGCTTTTTGCTGTTTTAATTTGCACTTAACAAGCAGGAACTTTACTCAATTTGCTAATTACTACATTTTCAAGCTGTTTTCTCAAAATAGATGGCAGCCTATCACACTAGGAACCCAAATTTCTGTATTTACCTCGGATTACGTAATTGTCCAAAGCCTTTTCCATTATTTTCAGTGCTTCAGCTCTATTAGAGCCATAGGTAATCAGCTGGAAAAAAAAAGTATTTAGGTTACCAAGAAATGAGATAATGTTTGTCTCTGGATTCTGAATAGCATTTGAAATGAAAATGGCTTGTAGAACTTCAGCAGTCACAAAAACATTTCTCTCACATTACTCTGTGCTTCAGAGGCTAAAATATCAAGAGACAACTAAGATCTCTTAAGCCATTCTGTGGAAAAAGGCCAATCACTTCTTCATAAAACTTGAACAAGTTCTCTCTTTTTCTTTAGGTGCACAGTAAATTAGGGCAGAAGTTCAGTATCTAGTTGGCTCTCCTGACTTCTAATGCCCAAACAACTTCTAAAATCTAAGTGTTACCTTTTTTGACAACTGAACTCTGAGCATAATCTCATATTTTCATTTTACCAATACGTTACTGATGAATAGGAACTAATACTAAGAGACACTATCAACCATTTCTTTCACTGCTTCTTTTTGGATGTCAGAAATATTGAAATTTTAGTTCTGGCTACGTTATATTAAAAAAGATGGATTTACAGCACCTAAGTCAGAAAGTAATCAAATTAGAATTCTTTTAATAATCAGAAACTGGAAGACAAATAATTATGGTGTCAAAAGACAAAAACAATTCTGTTTAGAAGTGACACGAGATCTCTTCTACTACACATCTTCCTTCACTTCTTTCATATTCCCTTGAGGCATGTTATGCCTAGAACCTTTAAAATACTGATTTACCAATCCTTTAACACACTTTCCCTCTCTTAAAAGATCTGTGTATAACACTAGTGTTTCATACCTTTAGAACATTTTAAATTAATCAACTCACTTTTGAGATCATGGGGTCATAATAAATGCTAATTTCACTTCCTTGTTGAATGCCACTGTCAACACGTACCTTCAAAAAAAATAAGAAGCAAAAATAATTAAATATTGGTTCAAAAGTATTTCAACTTGAGATCAAATCTACCTGGTAGGCTTAAAACATAAGGCATGGGAAGCTGATCAGATGCATTTTTTTTCCCCTTGAAGAACTAGAGTAATTATTTGTTTTCAGAGAAACTGGGAGGGGGGATGGGGAGCTCTTTCCTCCACCAGCAAAACTATTTGCAAGTTATTCTCTCCTTTAAAAAAACCCGACGACTTCAATCTTCAGTTGATAGTCAAAACTCTCTTTTGTTCTCCTAGAATGCACAGCAAACACTAAATTGGCTCTAACAATTTAGTTGTGCTACACACACTGAATTTCAACTCTGAACATACCCAATTCCGACTTAATCCCTGTAATAAAATACAGTTGTAATTATTCTTCTGACTGACATCTGGCATGAAGGATGCCCCTTATAATCACATCCTTTCTGCATCTCTATGCAATCACATCCACCATGTTCTGTTCCAGCCCTTCTGCGGGCTCCAGGAGGAATGCAAGCAGGGAGCATTCAGCAGGGACTTGGGAGCTCTGCTTATCAGCTCCATAGGAATACTGATCCTGTGGTTTTCATGTCTGTAACACTTTCCTTCTTCATCTCACCCTCTCAACTGTAAAACATTTTTTTTCCCTGAGGCTTTAATGTTTACACAGCTTTTTCCATGGCTTTGCTTTGTAAGGACACAGCCCCAATTAAAGCTCCAATTCTGCAGTATTCACGGAAAAAAAATAACACGAGTTCAAAAATTTCTTTTGAAGAGGCTGATTGCTGTTAACCAGCCAACAAGTTAGTTAGTATATTGCTGATTCTTGTTTTCATCTCTCAGTTTGATTTCATCACTGTAGCAATGAGGTTAGCCATATAAAACTTCTCAAATGAGCAATTTCTGGGGAATAAATATTTATTAAATTGCAGCTTTTGAGCACTGGAATCCAAAATATTTTTTAAAAGCTAATCAGAATAACTCAAGAGCAATAAACGCATTCTAGGGATCATAAGGATGGAGGGCTCTAATCAAAGCTATTGAAGCAGCAGGGCTCTGATATTCTGCATTGCAAAGGGGGTGGGGAAAGAGGGTCCTGGAATCTCACTTAAATCTTCACCTGTGGGAAGAAACCTTTGTAATAAACAGCAGCTCATCTGTCTGCAGCAAGGCAGAAAAAGGTCAACGCAACGGCTGTTAGGCCTTTAATATTTTAATTTAGGCAATTATCAGGGGACCACATGTAGAACCTCTTGTCTACAGAATCCACATGAGGGCATGATGATGACTTTATTATCCAAATGACATAAAAAGATACCCTAGCAGGTGCATTCACTTTCTTCAGCAAAAAACACTGCCCAATCAGTTTTTATGTTGTTTTATTTTTAAAAGCATATATTGATCCATATATTTGTATTTATATTTATATAAAGTTTAATACATTTATGTTTATTTGTATACCATATTTATTCCTATGTAAAGGTGGCAGCACTTTCGTAGCATTTTTATGACAACTTATACGAATGTACTTTATCTAGGCTTAACTAGGCCCCCTACTACCCACATCAGGTATGTTTAACATTAGCTACCGAGGAAAAGTTGGTTCAGACATGTCATGACTACAGAAGAAACATACATCCCAGCTCCCCTTCTTGTAACTGCTAAACCATTCTTCCTTCCAGGATGTCTGCCTATGTATAAGTCAATGCATACATTCTCACATTCAAATCAGAAAAAATTAATTTACCTACTCCATTCCAGATAAATCCCTTGCCCATAACATTTTTTCTAGTATACAATAATACATATATAAGACGTGAAGGTATGACATACATACTTCACATACTTGAATTACACTGTGACTTTTGTCTCCAAAGTAGCACCTATAAAGTGATTACACACAAGTGTTCAGGGGTGCTTTACATGCATACATGTGCATATAAGTATACATGTATACCATATTTTGACAAAGCAAAAACACATCAAAGGTGCATAATTCAGTCCCAGAGTAAGCAGGTTAGCCAGACCATGAAGTTTATGTAAGGCTTCTGAAGCTACTGACTACACCCTCCGCCTGTTCTGCGTTTCTGTTGATACACAACATACATACCACTACACAATTTATACTTTTTCCTAAATAGAATATCCTGAAAATAGAAAAATTAGTGAGAATTGAAAATTCTTTTCAAGCTATAGAATAATTTCCTTAAAAAAAAATCTGGATTTCTCTGTAGAGGTTTAATTTTCATAAAATAAACTCAAGCTGACTAAAAAAAATTACAGCAGAAGAGAAATACATTTACCATCTTCAGTCCTCTCTGTGGTGCTTGTTTTTAGAGCCTGGTAACAGTAGGTGATTTTATAAACTATATGGTGTGACAGAACTTAATGAATGTTGGATGAAAAAGAAACCCTAATTCAATAGATACTCACTATAATGTGCTTAAATATTGCTATTATTTATCAAGTTATCAGACCTCCAGCATTTATTTCTGCCTAATATATTTCCTTTCTTTTACTCAGTATTTAAAATACCAAAGAAAAGCTGTTTCAAGATCCTACTATACCCTATAGCTCGTTGGTATTACAACCCCCAACACTTCCATTGCTGTTGTACTGCCATTATGTGTTATTATACCAGGACAACAGTAAATTGAAAGATAAAGCTTAAGAGGGGAAAAAAAAAAGCACAATTTATGTCCCAGTCCTGCCACGAACTATTAGTGCATCAAATTCCACTTACCAGCACATACAGGTTTCAGTATTTCTCAACTCAACATCATGTAAGAAATCAGTTTTCTCTTTCTGGCAAGAGCCATTAAAAGACCAGACTGCCCATCATACTGGTGAAGACCAATACTGGAGCTCTTCAGACACAGCAGTGCATTTGCTATGTTGTGTAAGGGCATTGAACAGGAATGCTCACTAGCATAATATGGGGTTTTGTGGTTACCTATCTTAAGCTTCACTATGAAAGTTTAAAAAAAATTATATACACACATATACATATGCATATGTACGAGTACCACGCTCTAAGAAAACTACAGACTACATGACACAAAAATAGCCAGTACATTCCTACCTGTGGGTAAGAAAAAAAAAAAACCCTTACATAGTCATGCACACCAGTTCATCAGCTTGAGCAGCTGGCACATAGGCACAGGTAGAAAATCAGAGCTAACTTGAGACAGATGAAATGAATTGAAAATGCATTGGCAATACACTACTCATAAGCTGAACTTACTGTGACACACTACAAGTCTCCACTATTTTTTTTAAGCCAACTTGTTGACAATTCTAAAATCTAAAATGCAGAAAACAAACACTGTGGCACAGTGGGCCTGTAACACTGAACTTTTTTAGTTATATTAATTTTCTTCTAAGCGGCATGACATTACCAGGAGAGAAATTAGTTTCACAGTGGCAGAAAATATGTATTAAGACACCAAACGATGAGTGCCTACATAAAAATAGCTGTTCTATTTTTAATACAATAGAAGTAAACAGAAAGAGAACAGCCCAGACACTCCACGTGAGCTCCTCAAACCGTTGCTCTGAAGCCTCCAGCGTAATTAAAATTTCTTTCTTCGGTACCACGACGGACCACGTGAAGCGATCAGGCATCTCCCACCCTTCATTTCCAATTCACCTCTCTGCCTAAGCACAACTCCCAGCCCACCCCATCTACCTGACAAGTGACAGCCCAATCTGATTAAATGCTTGCAAGGGAGGGGACTCATGGGCCTCCATGACAGGCCAAAAGTGATCACCATGGAGATACATAATTACAGCTGTCAACGCGTCTACTGTCCTGCTGGCATCAATTTGATTGCTCCCAGCAATAATGATAGACAAAGCTTAGTGTGCACTCTCCTGCACCCAATCACTTTATCTATTCCGTGGTCCATTTAGCTGACATGCAACATTCACACAAGCAAATAACAGCAGTAAGCAGAACATTTAAGGCATTTTAATTGTTTTTTCTTTGTATGGATGGCTCACAAGCGCAAATGTTATTACATAAAACTCCTGCTGCAGCATTAATTGAAGAAAGATTTGGTGGGACAAAGACTGTAGGGGGTATAGTTTGTCCATTATCACTTGTACTTTCAACAGGTCTCACGTTTGGAAAATTGCAAATTGCAAAAACTTGCAAGGGCAAAATGTTTGACATCCTGTTAGCTGTTACAACATGGTGAAAACTTCTAACAACCACTGGAGAATTCATTATAAATTCTTATTAAATACACTCTTTGTTTCATTAAAAAAAAGTTTAGATACATCCAGTGATACCTTTTTCCCTCATCTCCTCTAAGATCACATAATGCCTTTTAGATCTTCACAATTTTTTTTTCTGCTTTCAGGCTTTGAACACAGCATGAGGCCTTAAAGACCAGAAAGGGTCAGGTCCCTTCGGAAACTATACGGGCAAAAACAATTTAAGGAGCGAAATAAATCATATATCCAATAACATCTCCACATTTAAGATTCCTTCTGTAATCTTTCACTATTTTCCGTGCAAGCAATCAGACTGAGTAATCGTATTCACAGATGGTACGGCCTTGTCATTCCACTGACACAGCGTCATGTACATGACTTAGACTACCTTGATATTACGGAAAGGTGGTGTTCTTGTTCTTTACGCATAGCAGAAAACACTGCTTGTTAAACAGCCGATCCATATAGTTACAGCATACCCTGAAATGTGGAATAATGGCCGTAACAAATTTCCTCTTTAAAGTATAAAAGCTAAACAGAAAGCATTGGCAGTGTCTCACTGGTGTCCCTAGTTCTCTGTGCTTAAAGAGCTGACTCAACATTTAACTGCCCTTGCTAAATCACCACAGTGTTTTTACTAAAGCTGTGTTTGAAAAAACTTAAGCTGAAAGTTACAGAATGCAACAAAATATTTGAACATATAACGGTTTCCCATTATACCCAATTTGAACATTTTAGACCTAGTCTGAAAGTGTACATTGTTAAGCAGTTTTTCACGCTGCACAAATAACTATTGCCATGTCCTATTCCCCCAACCTGGCAAAAAGCTGGAAAAAAAGGTTTGATTTACACTGTTGCTGAGTACTTACAGTCTGACTATAAAAGAAACAGTCAACATCTATGAAAATCAGATCCAAGTTACTTACACCTGGCAAGTGCAATGGTTCCTGATACTGAGACAGTTTACCAATGGATGGCAGGCCAAAAGATTTGTAAGGATCCTGAAACAAGATTCAACATGAGAAAGCATTAAGCTTTTACAGATGCAGAGAAGATAACATTAAAAACTTGAATTCTAACAGAAGCCACTGCTGGAATAACTTTGCTTTAACTCCAGGATTGCTTATGTTGAAGTACTTTTCTTCATCCACCTACTTCTGCAACTCCAAATAAATAACTGGAAGAATGTAAGTTCTCTTACGTTGCAGTCAAAAAGTGGGAAAGAAGTACTCTGCACATAGCTACAGTACACCACTAAAATATACAAAGATTACTTTTTCATCTGCTACATTGTGCCTTGGAAGAAGGATGGGAAAGTATTCAGAAGGGTGGAAGTGAGAGTATAAGGAAAAAAAATTCAAGATAAAAAAGGCAGTTAGAAGTTCAATTATCTTAAGAAATCAAACTAACCTTTATGCCTTCGGAAATCTCCTGCACAATGCAATACCTAATAGGACAGCAAATAAACATATGGCCAACAACATAGTTGAACTCACAGAAAAGTAGTTGGATCCATTATTTATAAGTGTGAGGGAAATCAAGTCAAAAAAAACCCAAAACCCAAGCATCAGTTACTCCAGGGTAAAGCCTACTCATACTCGGGATAGCTTCCATGCCAATCACAAGGCCATTATTTATTCTTTATCAAAATAGTTCATATAACTTGTCATCAGTAGAGCATTTTGAAAATTATGTGCACATCATTAAGAAAAACTAAAAAACAAAATTAAGATGCCCTGGGTAAAGTTAAGCAAGAAAAAAAACATCTCAAGGTGCTGAATTATTTTTGGAAAGCAGTTGCCTAAAATGTTCCTCAAATTGAAGGAAGCTAAGCATCATTTTTTTCTTTAACAAATCTTGATTTTCACGTATCAAAAATGACAGCAAAAAAAGACATTGCTTTGAAATGTCCTAAACATGCTTGAAAACATATTTATATTTTAGTAAGCTTTTTTCAGGGCGAGAGTCATAACAATTATTAAAGTTATTGTCTGGGAGTGCAGTTTGAAAGTTTATACCATAAATTGTAGTTTCAGAAGATCTATAACTTCCTTTTTCAGGAACCTATTAAAATGTCTTAGTACAAAAACAAAAATTCTGTATTGAATTTCAACTGTCTTTAAGACAACAAGTCTCAAGTATACAAATTAAGAAACCTAGAAACACTAGTTAAATGTAGCAAATAACTCCAGCGTTGCATCAATAAATGCAAATGGAACATATAGCAAGTGTCCTTAGAAATAAAGCTGAGTTATTTCTTTTACCATTTTTTATTTTGATTTTCAGAAAAAGGTACATCAAAATACTTACAGTATTTTCAATTAAAAAATAAAAATTCTACAAAGGCTCATTAACCACTTGTGATGCATTCTCTAAATGGTGACTTTCATACGATATTCCTTGACTTCACCTTGGCATCTGTCCACACCTGGGTATTATTATTCCACAATTCAACCACCTACCCTCCTCCCCATTACCACTCATTTACCTCAGCATAAACTCGACATTCAACCGCCCAGCCGTTGATGGGAATATCAGCCTGTTTGTGCCTGAGAGGGTAACCCTTAGCAACACGGATCATTTCTTGGACTAAGTCCAGGCCGGTAATGCATTCTGTGACGGGATGTTCAACCTGCAAGGTCAAGAACTGTCAGTCAGTAGGTAACAAAAACAACCAAAAAAAAACCCCGCAAACCACAAAAACCCACAAGCACTTTTTGTGAACAAACAAACAAAAAATTAAACCAGCCAAAGAACAGACAAAGTGTATGTTCCCATCTTGGTTTTTTCCAAATAAAAATTCTACTTGACAAACTCCAGCAATCACCTTCTCTGCAGTGAAATCCCCTAAAAATAAAATCATTAGCAGATGACAAAAGCTAGTAAGTACAGAGAATACCTCTAGAGGAAGGTTTGTGGTTTTGTAGGGCTTTTTTATTTTCCTCATTTAGTCTACAAATCCAAATGCACCTGGTGACGACAAGTTAATTTTCCTTTGTTCAGAAGCTTTCCCTATTCAGTTTGGATTTGAAAAGACTCATGCTGTAGCCATAAATATATTTTAACTGAAAAATCTCCAAGTAGCTGATAATCAACCCATTCTGCTACACTTAACATGGCACGTACAGGAGCCGCTTGCAATTTTCCATAGAACTGGCCTACCCTAAATCTCACCCATTCGCCTGCTTTCACTAACCTGTCCTGACAAGCAACCAGATTAGCGTAATCTTGCATCAGCGCAGTGTAGCAGAAATGAGCAGATGGATCCTTCAATTTTTTTTCTCTCCTCTGCCTCTCCTCTCCAGACTTATCTGTTTAGTGCTTAGCATGCACAATAGCTGGGCTGGACCAGCAGAGTCACTCGGTGCTCCCAGCAAATTGCTGCTAACGGCTCCGGATGATGCTGCCATGGGAATACCGGTCCTTGGCGCTCACCCCGCCATGTGCATACGAGCATGTACACATGTGTGCACATACACAACATACACACACTTTCCCCCCCCCTTTAAATGGGTTATAAATTGACATTTATTCACATTTTTTAAAAAAATCTTTAACTAGACATAGTACACTAAAAAACCACCCAACAACAGGAGGGCGCACCATGTATACAGGCATGCTAAAAGCATATTCTCTAGAGACAGCTGTAAGACTTTCCATATAGAAATCATGACCAAACCTGCCATTTTTATTACAAAATTTGTCTTCCAAGGGCCAAAATGCCTTAAGAAAACACACTTCACAATGGTTTCTCTATTATGAGATGTCATCCTAATACATATGTTTTGTGACACAGGAAAAGGTCAGTGACCAAACCACTTGTCTTTCTTTCTTCCTTCAACTACACCAGCATTAAGGAAAACATTCAGTCATGACAAGAGTCTTGTGGTGTACCAGAACAAGAGGGTGCTTTGGTCTTTAAGAAAAAAGCTTTGTCAAAATAAACAGATGGCATCCATAATTAGCCCTGTGTGTGCTGTGAGTTTGTTCAGAGTTTCAACAACATTTTAAGACGTTTTGACATAATTTTAATGACAAATCATCACTGAAACAAGCACCTAATCTTTGAAGGATAAAAGTGACATTGAAATGGGAATCTGATTATTCAGTTTAAGGATATACCTTTGGGATTCAATCTTGATTCTGCTTAACACATGATATTCCTCACCATGTCAAGCTTAATAACAGTATTTGGAGACTCTATGAAACATCTCAGTGTCTACCCTGCAGTGATAAACTGAAGCAATTTCATTTCTATTAAGACTTGAAGTTTCTATTAAAACTTAGTAAGTTTTAATAGGAAGTTACTTATCACACATTCATATTTGGACAACAGAACTTTTATCTTTTTTAGGATTTAAGCCTCAAAAAAATTACCTTTGAGTTGGGAACACATTTGGAATTCTACCATTCCAGATAATGAAAATACTGTATATATATATATTTTTTTTTAAAAGACATTTGCATTATTTAGTTATACTGTCATTATTCTTGGATTGCAATTAGCATTCCAGATTCAATAGCTTCACTGTTGTTTTCCGCTTTATTGTTGATGATCAAAATAGGACGGAATGTTTCTGGAAGGAAAAATGTTTTTGTTGTTTGGTTCTTAAAACTCACAAACATTTATTTAATCCATTCTTCAATACAGATCTTTGACTCGGTCAATATTTTCCTCTGTTTCTTCAAAATACTCCCTTTGTGTCTGCACACAAAGCAGCATTCAGAAAATATGAGGAGGAAAATTTTTAGAGGGTTTTTTTGGGGTGAGGTGAAGTTGATTTGCTTTCTTTTAGGGCTGTGCTTCAACTAGAGCTGTTTAGGCCTAATGTAGACAGTATCAATCATGTCATTAATTGTGGGGTACCAAATACATTTAAAATGCATTTTAGTATACATTAAGACCATCAGATCACTAAAATGGGGTAAAGAACAATTTTAACCTTGAAATCCTAGTTGACTTATTCGTAACTTCAGTCTCCCAGTGAGGTACACAGCTCAAACTGCACTTCTTTTAACATTTGCAGTTTTCTTTCAGCAAGGAGAAGTGCAAGAGGGGGTCAGTATTTTTAGCATTATACTGAATACACTTCAGCATAAAGTACAAAAGGACATTAAGAAAGCACTAATGCAATATTCTGGTTCAACAAGCACCCTGCAATCTGGTTCTGGAGGTGCAAGAATCCACCTACATGGTGCACATACATGCAGAACCTGAAATTAAAGCTCTCATCTTTTATAAAAGAAGGAAGGATGGGGGTAGAAGAAATCAGACCACCCTTCCCTCTCCCTCCCTTCCCAAAATAAAGAAAATACAGGCATAATTCCCTACTTATGAAAGCTCTAGAATATCTGTCACAGCTTGTTGACTATGGTTACTGTCGTATCCATTTTAAAATCACTATTAAAACCTAGGCTTTAAACATTTTCCTCTTTTCAGCCTTCTACTTCAGGTGTCATTCTTGTCTTGCCCACCTGCCATATTTTCCCCTATGGATTTTATGTTATACCTCTTCTCCATCAACAGCCTTAGCATCCATAAGACAGCAAGCAAAGTCAAGGACTGAATTTTTAAATAAATTAATGCAAGAATGCTCACAAATGGAGGAAACTGATCAACTCTTCTAGCTTTGGGCCAAACTCAGATTTTTGTAGTTAGCTGATCCAAGATCTTGCCAATGAAGTCCCAGTCGATAAGGTAACAGCCAATGGTGGTATGGTAATACGATAGTGGGGAAATTCACACATTATCTCTGTCCTTAATACAAAGGGCAAAGCCAGACATGTCTGCAGCAAGCAATCTACAGATCATTGCTGTATCAAGGCAGCTGCATCTTATGCTCAACAGGAGAGGCAGAAAAATTGACCAGCAATAACTCTCAGCAGCCAAAAGTATCACCTTTACTACCGGTTCCTTTACTTACACAAAGTCTGGTCATAAACAACTTATAACAAGTCATTATTCCAACACACTTAAGTATGATACCTAACTCCTTTAAAAAGTCTTACTCTACACTTTCTGTGACCCACACGCACTCTTCTCTGAAAAAAGCCACTTACGTTTCTGCTTTCAAGTCCACAAAGCCCATAGCTGTTATGGCCAGCAACATGCGTACAGGGTAAAGGGGAAAGAGCTTCCCCTCCATACAAGATCTGCTCTTCTTCAGCCACCCCACAGCAATCAGCTTCCTTGTCAGCATTAAAAGTGGTTTTGTTTCCCTAACCTCCTTTAGCTTATACAGCAAGCAACACTGGTGGCACAGTCTATAAAAAATAACAAATAAGACTCAGTATATAGATGGTGAAGCAGGTACAAAAGAGCCAGGGGAACCTGCCAACATCGCAGTCCAGCTCGCATCTGTCCCCAGAAGAGTACAAAGAGGCTGGTAACTCTCACCCTGTTCTGTGACTGCCACTGGTCTTAAAGTTTCACCATACTGGGGTTCATCCAATGCTACAAAAACAGTCAAGCTATTTCCATGAACAGTTGGAGCTAAGAGTTCAATTAGCGATGACTGCTCCCCTTATATTCAGGGGAATGATTTCAGGACACATTTTTCTCAAGACCAATAAGGTACCCAGATCTAATAGCAAAGACTTCTGGATGCTCTCATAGATTGCTCCTCTTGCCCCTGTGTGCATAAGGCATCAAGTTACTCACACGCCAGTTGGAGCATTCAAGCAGATCACAGCAGCCAAGAAAATCTAAATTTCAGTAGATTTGAAAGTACAGCTTATGTCACCCCTACTACTGTAAGTCCCTAGCTGGTATCATATACTTCTTTGCATTCAGATAAATAATCTCAAAACTAACTTTCAACATACACCTCAGTTTGCAGGAAACATGATTCACCTGGAACCCCATGGGCTTTTCCGCAGCAGCCAAATCCAGTATCAACTGACCCAAACCCACGAGCTTACAGATGCTCCTCAGCCCCCTTTGTTCAGTAAAAGCCTGGTTTCTATTTCAGAGAACAGCAAGAGAGGTGCACACATGCTCTGCTCTTCAGGCACGCCAGCTTCCCGACTGCTACAAGCAGGAGCACTCTGGGGTCACATCTTCTTTCCACAAAAGAAAGCCATGTATATGAGGTTTGTGGACACATAGTAAAAAATAGCTTTTCAGAACAGACAATGTTTGGATTAATGTACAGAACAGATAGAAAACACACAGGAATACGTAACAGGCAATCTCCTATGCGGTCTTTTTCTATAGACAGAGTACATAATATGAGTTGCTGCTTATGTTCTGATTTATTAGTATGTGAATGAAGAACAGCACAACCAGAACTACAAAAATTTCCATAAACTAAGATGCTCAAAAAAACCTAATGCACAGGCATTCAGTACCAATTAATTTTTAATAGCCTATAATAACTTTGAGAAATATTTAATCTACTTCTTTATAAAAAGTTATCTTCCAATAATCACTGATTCAGTTCTGTCAGTTTTTCTTTGCGAGGATTTGTTTCTGTATTGCACTGGACAGATGTGGGTAAGAAACCACGTACATAGCCTATGAATACTGAATCTGTCTTTCCTGTGTTTTTAAACAAACGAGTTATCTAAATCACAATTTCAACAGAAGGTTCTGAATTAGCATTCTGCACTTAAAAAAAAAATAAATCTTGC